TAGTAGGGTGGGATAGGAGGGGTTGGGAGGGTGGGATAGGAGAGGTTAGAAGGGTGGGATAGGAGGGGTTGTGAGGATGAGATAGGAGAGGTTAGAAGGGTGGGATAGGAGGGGTTGGGAGGGTGGGATAGGAGAGGTTAGTATGGTGGGATAGGAGGGTGAGATAGGTGAGGTTAGAAGGGTGGGATAGGAGGGGTTGGGAGGGTGAGATAGGAGAGGTTAGTAGGGTGGGATAGGAGAGGTTTGGAGGATGAGATAGGAGAGGTCGGTAGAGTGGGATAGGAGGGGTTTGAGGGTGAGATAGGAGGGGTTGGGAGGGTGGGATAGGAGAGGTTTGGAGGATGAGATAGGAGAGGTTAGTAGGAAGGGATAGGAGAGGTTGAGAGGATGAGATAGGAGAGGTTAGTAGGGTAGGATAGGAGGGGTTGGGAGGATGAGATATGAGGGGTTGGGAGAGTGGGATAGGAGAGGTTAGTAGGTTGGGATAGGGAGGGTTGGATAGGAGAGGCTAGTAGGGTGGGATAGGAGATATTGGGAGGATGATATAGGAGAGGTTAGTAGGGTGGGATAGTAGAGGTTGGGAGGATGAGATAGGAGAGGCTAGTAGGGTGGGATAGGAGAGGTTGGGAGGATGAGATAGGAGAGGTTAGTAGGAAGAGATAGGAGAGGCTAGTAGGGTGGGATAGGAGAGGTTGGGAGAATGAGATAGGAGAGGTTAGTAGGGTGGGATAGCAGGGGTTGGGAGGGTGGGATAGGAGAGGCTAGTAGGGTGGTATTGGAGGGCCTGGGAGGTACAACATGGACACATGAAGTTTTGAGGTACAACATGGACACATGAAGTTATGAGTTGCAACATGGACACATGAACTCATGAGGTACAATATGGACACATGAAGTTATGAGGTACAACATGGAAACATTAACTCATGAGGTACAACATGGACACATGAAGTTTTGAGGTACAACATGACACATGAAGTTATGAGGTACAACATCGACACATGAAGTTATGAGGTACAACATCGACACATGAAGTTATGAGGTACAACATGAACACATGAACTCATGAGGTACAACATGAACACATGAAGTTATGAGGTACAAAATGGACACATGAAGTTATGAGGTACAACATGGACACATGAAGTAATGAGGTACAACATGAACACATGAAGTTATGAGGTACAACATCGACACATGAAGTTATGAGGTACAACATTGACACATGAACTCATGAGGTACACCATGGACACATGAACTCATGAGGTACAACATGGACACATGAAGTTTTGAGGTACAACATGGACACATGAACTCATGTACAACAGGGACACATGATGTTATGAGGTACATGGACAGATGAACTCATTGTTGTATCAATTTTTGTACAGACATTGTTGTGTACATGGAGTCAGGTCAAATAACACAAAACAAGAAACATTTTTTCCCCCACATCTTTAATTCTTCAGTTTTTATGAACATTAATACTAGATGACCAGACACTGGACAAAAGAAGTCACCCCTGTCAGTACACACAGGAAGGGAATATTCAGCCTTTTAACAACGTCTCATTCATCCCTTCTTAAATACTGACTTGTTAACATCAGTAACCTAGTTAACATGAGAGCATCAGGTGAACATCAAAAGCCTAGTTGACATTGGATTTAAAAAAATCATGTCAATACGGTCATGTTGGAGTTGTTTTCTGTAATAATAATTAAAAAAAAAACATTTTACAATGCTGCCTCAGAGTTGACAAAACTCACAATACAAAATGTCATGGATCATGATTGATCAGAGCAGGTCTCTGAACTTTCCCAAATGGCCATTGTTCTTACAATCACCACTCAGTGTTTTCATATATCACATTTTACGGATCAGTTTTTAAAAAAATGATTTGTCTTTTAAATTTTTTTTGGTTAGTCTTTTTTGTAAATAAAATACTAATAATACTATTAATGAAATCAAATAAATATTTATAAAATTTAAATTTTTAAAAAAATATTAAATTTATGTATGATTGTTTAGCACAGTGGTTGACAAATCGCAGCTCGCAAGCCGCATGTGGCTCTTTAGCGACCTGAGCGCAGCTCAGCCAGTCAGCCACAAATTGATTTTGACTCTGAAAAACATGGTTCTTGACAGGATCTTGAAAAGCTATTTGGCTCTCAAATTTTTTTTAATCGTCCTGCTTTTGAATTTTGGCTATTTTGACTAATGAGTGTGGCGACCACTGGTTTAGTTTAGTCCATGCATTGGCTTAGTAACCTGAGTTTTGAATATCACTTTAAAAAAGAATTACTATCAGGCATGGATTTGTAAATACCTGTAACAACTTGATGAAAGAGTGATTTCCAATCTGATCTGATCAGAAACAGGAATTCAAAATGATTTGTTACTTTTTAACAGCTTTCATTGTAATCCAACCTAACAAAACCAGAGGAGGATTTAACATCGACAAATTCAAACTAGTTATTGTGTTGTTATATGCTGTACTGGCCACTGATTCATATTTCAAGACAGTACTCTTTCTACTGTAGCCAGAACTAGAACTCTACGGCCATCCAGTCAGTAAAACTATATGACCGTCCAAATCAGTAGAACTCTATGACCAACCAATCAGTAGAACTCTATGACCAACCAATCAGTAGAACTCTATGACCAACCAATCAGTAGAACTCTATGACCAACCAATCAGTAGAACTCTATGACCAACCAATCAGTAGAACTCTATGACCAACCAATCAGTAGAACTCTACAATCATCTAATCAGCAGAACTCTATGACCATCCAATCAGTAGATGTATTAATAAACAGTTTCCATTGAACTTAATTTCCCCCACGAGGAAGGCACCAATTAAAACCATTATACAAGTCTCTTCTTGGCCCAATAAGAAATGAGATCTCATGAAAATCTTATCAGTGAACCAGAAGAACTGAGCCTGGCAAGGGATTGCCCTAACAGTCGTATACTTCTGCCTTTCAAATTGTTCTAAATTATGAAGCATGTACCAATTACTTTGTGTAAATCTGTTGGAATATGTTTTTTAGATACATTTGAAAAAATAATTTGATAATTCTCATTGAAAAAGCATATCACGTGTATCAAAAATGAATATAGTTATATTTTTAAATCTTGCAATATAATCAATGCCCATATATTATAAAACAATACTTACATATTTACAAACAAAAAAATACTAAATTAGTAATTAAATTGACTAGCATGTATTGAACATCTCATGGTAAATATAGAATACTATGAACAAATCCGTGCCGATTGTTACATTACATTCCAAGAATTGAGCTCTAATGTACAGAAAATGTCGTCCGACGAGACAAGTTGTGTATACCTATTCTAACATTTAAGCAGTTTCTAATCACCTAAAGTTCTTCATAAAAAAAAAATGTTCTGGAATGTATAATTGTATTTTTTTATTTTCTTATTTGTAAACAAATTTTAATCTACATCAAAGCAGTGTTTGTGCAACACACTCCTGCGCAGCAGCAACACACTCGTGCGCAGTAGCAACACACTCGTGCGCAGTAAACTTCTGGATGATCCACCCAAAAATTCTGACTGAAGAAATTTCATGAATTTATACAAATGTATACAAATGAGGACATGGGACCTTGAGGGTGGAAAATAATTATGCTGAGACAGATTAACTAAATCTGTCAAGAATTGTATATAGAATAACATCAATATTTAATGAATATATAAAATATTGAGCAACTTATCAACAGTCCTCTAATACAGCAACCCTCACATGACCTCTTTTACAACAACACATACATGGTTTATTATACAGCATCCCATACAACAGCACTGACATGACTTTTCATACAACACACAGTTGTAGCGAACCGTCCCAGCTTTCTTGGCGAGCTAATTCATCTCCATTCTTATTGGTGTCACACTGCAATCTGGGTGGAGAAAATTAGTATCTGATGACGCCTCACTGACATTGCTACTGTTTAGTAAACTGTCTACCACACTGCCACTCCCAGAAATGCTACCGTCAGTTGAGCCACAGGAGTCAAGCTTGACAGACGCTGCAGCAGCTGCAGCGGCCGCTGACACGACCACAGTCATGACGGAGGTTGTGTTGTGAGGACCTCCGTTTGTCGTGAGTGCATTGTTCAACACATTTTTAATAGTGTCCCGGTCCTGGGGATTTTTTATCACAGACTTAAGAAATGCCAGGGCGTCAGATCGAAACTGTTCCAGTTCCCTTTGAATTTCCTGATTGCGCTTGATGAGGCTGCCCGTCTTCATGGCAACCTCCCACAGGCCTGATTTCTGCAACGCATCTGCCGTGCGCTTAAACCGATGCTCCTTGTTGGGAAGCGATTTAGCATTGATTTTCTGGATCTGGGACGGACCACGGACGACACCATTCTTCTGCTTGGTGCAGGTGTCGGGTGGAGTCATCCCAGGCTGGAGGCGACTGTAGATGGGAAGAGTTCGTGAGTGGAGTGTGCGGGAGGGCATCTCGAGGTCGGTGGGGGGCACAGAGAGCATGGTGCCGCTCTCTGTGTTCTCCAGAGGGATGGGCATGGCGTCTGCGGCGGGGACGGGCAGAGGAACAAACCCCGGGGCAGTCAACTTACTGGTCCATGGTGTGAGGCTGGCGTAACTTTGAGCAAAACTTTGTTGGGGGGCCTGAAGTTAAAAAAAAATTAGTCAAATTTGAGTTCTACTAATGAACTAATTGATAAAAACATAAGTTATAGATAAACACCTTTTTATATAGTTAATATATGCAGCCAATATATGCAGCCTAATTGACACTTTATATACATTGTGTTAATAAAATATCTAAAACAGCATGGGGGAAAAAAATTCTTTACAATCATGTACTAAATTATATTAAAAAATAACACAAGAATAATTAGTCTAAATGTTTAAAAAATTAAGTTTGGATTCGGAAGTACAAATCAAATCAACTTACAGAGCAATGAGTATCTTCAGAACCAATGTCAGAAACTAGTGGACTATTACAGCTATTGACCGATGTGTGTCTTGTAGTGCTGGATGTGGACAGTGACTTACTGGTTAAACTTTCATTTTGACAGGTGCCAGTGAAACAAGGGGACACTGAAACCAAACAAGCCAGTCATTAATGTGCTATCTTGGTTATAGACTAAAATCATGTTTGGACCTGTGATGGGATGAAATTAAATTATTCAATATCAGTATTTTTTGGACCATCTCACTATTGAGATTAGATTACTTTATTCAGTGTCAGTAAGTAGATATTTTTTTACAAATTAAATACCCCCCCCCCCCCCCCTTTTGAATTTTTAAATCTTTTGTACAAAGATGGTTACTGATTCACTGTTAGACTCAGCCAGCCATATATACTAGATTTTTTTAACAGCTTTTGCTTAAGAGTGATCCAATGTTGTGGGCAAACAAAAACAAGTAATTTCACGTAAGAACTGACATCAATGACTAATGTAGTCAAATAAAAGGAGTTGAGAGCTAGGACATTTTGATGAAGAGATAAATCATAGCTTCTGAAGACATATGGCAATACCCGGTAACTAAGCAGCAGGTAGATAGATCTGTTCTTACCTGATGCTTGACACAAGCCCTGATAGACAGCGACCCCTGGCAGCAGGACTGAACTGGCCACAGGAGATAAGTCAGCACAATGGGAAGACATCATGGGAGCTGTAGAGTACACAGCATTCAAATCTTGTGTGGCCAGGGGTGTCATGCTCCCACTGACTGATGATGATATCAGTACTGGATTGTGGCACTGCATGTCATGGCTGCTGTCAAATGCAGGGATTTTGGATAATTTGTACATGAACTTTTGACTGGACAATGAAGAGAAATGCAAGCTGGTGGACAATTTTTTAGTCACAGCCGGTAAATTTGATGGCATACTGTGCAGCCGCAATAATGATTTGGGACTGGTTAGTGATGGATTGTTTGTTTGGAAAACAGATTGGGGATTATTCTGGACTAAGGTTTTAAGGTCCATAACGTTGTTTTGATTTTGAAGGTTGCAATCGTTTGTTGGTGTGCTGGCTGGTCGGTGAGGTCGGTACTGGACATTGACCGACATGGTGGGTTCACTAGCCGGCATGCTGGAGTAGGGATTCACAGAGGATTGATGACTGGACACACACAGCCCAACTGAACTGTAGGTCAAAGGATGGTGTCCAGACATGCTGTAGGTTGGTGAAGAAATCAAACCCTGGCCTTTGGCTTGCGGGGGGGTGATGGGAGCAGGAAACTGGTGAGGACTGAAAGAGCTGCTGGCGGCGGCACTCATGTCAGGTGACATTGTGATGACATTCAGCAAACTCAGGTCTCCCATACCAGCTGTCGAATACGCACTTGACAATTTATGAAAACCTGTGCATCATAAAATAAAAAAAATTAAAATCTAAAAGGTTCATTTTGATCATTTTAACGTTTCTTGTACATGCAGGATGTTAATAAATGTAAATTTCAGTTAATAATAAACTAACGAATGGCTACTTTTACAGAGATTTGGTCTCTTTTCTGCTCAGTAAAGTTTAATGTGCGGTAGTCTTATAAGGTTTTGTCTTTTTATTTTTGGAGACAGGATAAAAAGCAATGTCTTTAAATTTGATACAAGTATTACAAGTACAAAAACCTATATCTAATGTTCCTCCCCACCCCCTCTCCAACTAAGAGTACAAATTAGATTTAGTCCAAACCACAGAGCTGAGACTCAATCATTAACATTTCTATAAAGTACATCGGCCTTTGCTAAATGTGACAATGTATACAAACTTATATACATTGATCTCCTGATTGCCCATGGCAATAATCAAACATTTAGATAAGAGCGCATACTGTGTTAAAATCAGGCACAATTAAAGTATCATAATGTTTTATGCGAACATAACAGGTAATTTAATCAAAGCTGGCAAGTTTTTGAGTGTTGTGCCCTTGCCCATTAAAAAGATGTTCAGTAAAAAAACAACTGAAAAATACTTTGCCACTAGCCTCAACGACTTACTTGATTCAGTCTTCATGGCTCCATTTCCATCTATGTTGGTGGGACCCGTGGAGGCTGCACCGTAACCGTCATGTACGTCAAAGAGAAGGTCTCTAAGGGAATCTTTCTTTTCAGCCATTGTTAAGTGGAAAAAATGCAACGTACTTTCTTCTCAAAGGAGCTTGCTTCAAATCACTATTTCAAGTGTCCAGTGCACACATCTGGGTGACAAAGAGTATCATGACTTAGCCATATTGTCTATACACATGAACATTAAAATAAAACCTCAAATGGAGATCCCAGTGCTTTAAGTATATATCACATTTTAGGCAAAACTAAACCCAACAGTTATTGCTATTGATCTGGTTGAGCAAAATAAATTGTACCAATATAAACAAATAAATATTTATAAACAAATAAATGTTTAAAGTCCCTTTTCTAAGGAGAGAAATTGCTTAGTGTAATTTTATTTTTATATTGAATTTTAAAAGTGGATAGTGTCAAAATAGTTATTTTGTGACTTCTTTACTTGAGCACTAGAGTCTTAAAAGTACCTTTTCAGCCAAATTATAAAACAAAAGAAACAAATGATGAAATATTGGATGATTTATCCCCAATACTATTTAGGTCACCCCAAATTCAGATTAAAACTTTAAAAATGGGTAGTGGGGATGGTCAGGAGTCACAACACTAGACCAGTTGGCGCAACATTAGACCAGTCAGCATCAATTAAATGGAGCTCAGTGGCTGTCTTCACCTTTAAACACCACCCCCCCAACCTCCATCCCAGCAAGATAAACAATTCGGCTGCCTAAATTCATAAGTACAACACTTCAATGGCGGCTCTAATTCTGGCAATCTGTGCAACTAAGTTAAGAAAGGGATAGAATACATTCTAATATATATTGATGGTCAAAATGATTCATGCCTCCCAAGGATCTTTGGGATACGCAGACCATGGTTTCTAGATTACATTCTAAATTGCAACAGCCAAAAACATGATGGTGTAAATAATCGTACAGTGACGGTTAATTTTAAAAGTGTGATGTTATTTTCTCCCAAAATCACTGTATCAAAAGTATTTATATAAATAAATGTCTTAACTGAATAATGTTTCATCCAGTGAACCATTGTGCATGACACATTCACTTGATTGTGGTATCATTCAAATAAAAGCTCATTTTTTTTAAAGTCACAACTACCAACCAAAACATCGTTTTATTAAGTTTGTTGCGTAGATATTGCTTTGTTATAAACATCATCCACTAAGGTTGTTTTAAAACACCTGTCCAAAGACAGCATACTTTGGAGTTTAGGAACCACTGCCCTCAACTGATTACAGCATATAATTTTTATAGACCAGAGCTTATTGGGTAGGAATGTGGTAAAATAGATCACAATCACAATATAAAATTGTTTGGGGATAACGGAAATCATCACAGAAAGTTATGTGTGTTTTTAAACATAAATAATCCAAACATTAGCCATCCTATTTATTCAGTAATCGAAAAAAATAGTATTTCCACTCATTGCTTATCCAATTTTTACACTCTGGTTCATATTAAGTCTAATGATTTATTTAAATTAACCCTTGCTTATGTATAATATTAAAAAATTGAACTAAAGTGAATTCAACCATTGTAATTGTAACATAATACACCCTTTTCCCTTGCAAACAGTGAGACAAGACAAGGCTAAAATAAAAAAGAAGTAGCATATAGGCCTAAAATCCATCCAAAATAACAGGGTAACCTTTTTTTTTAAAAAATATCCCTTTACAATTACTTTTGTTGCAAGCTCAAAACTTACAACCAGTTTGATGAGTTTAAACTTAATCACCTAATTCGGCTATGCTGTATGAGTATGAGAGTATCTATTTACCAGTTGGGAAGTTAATAGATAGCCCTTTAAAATTATACATCTTGTATGCCAACCAGCGTGAATCAGTCAATATTAAAAATTTCAAAGTACCCAGACCGAATTTGGTTAATGAAAATGTATTAAAATTAAATGACTCTGTCTCTCTCAACTCTCTGCATATTAAATGTCTGTAGGTCTGTCTCTCTCAACTCTCTGCATAATACTGGCTTAAATTATTATTTTTAACTATTTTTATTTGAGACTATTTAAAGTAGCCTAAAATAAATTCCTAAATTATTCTAATACCAACTGGCTGGCCTAATTAAATAAGTTGTACTTTGGACCAGAATCTCCTATGCCTTTACCAATATGAATCATGAATCAACAAGGCCTAATAAAAATCTATATTATTATGGCAAACTCAAACCTAAGACTAAATACTAATTTTCCCCAGTCCCCAAGATTGTTTTTCTTATTACATTTTTAATTTTGTTTAATAAATTAATTCCCATTAGAGCAGTAGATAGTAGAGGTGTTATCCCTATTATTATTATTATAGCCATGATTTTGACAGATGAGAATGTTAATGTAGGCCTAAGAGTGACTCAGAGTAAGTTAGTAGGTCAGCCTTTCCCAAACTCTTAGTTTAGTAATCTTAGGCTTCTTGGGTTTTGAGTTTGGTGGAGGATAAGTTTTGATGTTGGACCTGGGATGTCTGACAGATTTATTATTCATATCATATTGGCATTGTCTTATTGACCATGCCATATTAATATTAGTATTCATTACACACCGGAAACACATGAAAATTAATGATATATATATAAATGGGGAATGCTGTCGCAGGTCATAGTATTCGACCGCATATAGGATATATGCTGCTACTACTTCTACTAGTAACTATTGGCTAGTGGGGCCTCACGTCTATTATTTAAATTGGTTATTATTACAATTATTAGCCTTATTATTAGATAGTATGTTGTTATTAATTATTATTATTCAATTTATTGTATAGTATTAGTTAAACGAAAATTATTTGAACAATTTGTTTTTGTTGCCACCAGTAAATACATGGTTGGTACTGACATTACTATTACATATCCATCATACGACTGACGTCACTGACTATTATTAATAATAATAAACAAATCGTAACAAAACAATTAAATGGATAATTAAATGACTCATTTTAATGACAATAACTTATAACTCAATAGCAAGTTACTAACTATTGTTACTGTTTTTACCTTGCTAAAACTAAAACAGAATATGATACTCCACAAATTAGAATCATTCAGTGTAGTATGTAACTCCGATCCAGTGAGCGGTATTGGTTTCCCCAAAAATATTGCCTTAAAGAATTCAAACAACCAGCGCCTGTATCGAATTACTGAGTTTAAAGCAAGCTCAGACGACAGATAGCTCAACACACTTTCTTCTAGTACTTATGCTCGTGCAATGCAACGTGACAACATAAATATACTTCGTCTGCCAGCGGTGATTGGCTGAGCGGTGACAGAAACCGAACAAGCTCGGCGATTTCCGTACAGCCATGCACATGTTCTTGTGTGGTGTCGGAAACATCGCCAGAGAAAAATCTATAAAAAGGGTGATTCGTTTTTATTTTTCATTTTTTGATTTGTTAAAAAAAAAAAAAATATTAAATTTAAACTGTTAGGAAGTCAATAGCTTACTTATAAAATAAATGTTTTAGAAAATGTTGAATTAAATAGATGTATGGTTTAATATGAATGTTTCCAACTTTTCTTAACTCTCATTGTGCGCTAAAGCTTCAAGATTGCCATATATAACATATAAATTTACATGCATTTTTTGCATTCCCCTCCCCCTGTTGACCTAAATGAAGGAGGAAAACCAGTAATGTACATGACAACGCCTTTCCTGTTTATAGGCCTGCCCATATGTACAAGATGCTTCCTCATCTATAGCATTTCTGGAATACCTCTGAAATATGGCCTCTAAGAGTGTCTGAATGGGTACCTTCATGAGATTACTTCTGCATGAAAGTACTTCTGCTCGTAATGTACTGGCCCTTCTTGTTTTTAACAGAGGTAAAAAGTGCGACCAAAGTCCGGTGGTATAACTGGCCCCTTGGGGGGAGGCTGCCACCCCCCCCCCCCCCAATTTTTTTTCTTTCTAAGAGCAAAGTGTCAAACTGTCATGTTACACTAACTCAGCCCCTACTCTACCATAGAGTAGGTGTCTTATTCTACTCTTTACCCTTTTTCCTTTCAATGCTCCCCACTGTAGTCGACCCAGAAGTTAGATCCTCATGGATGTATTGTATGCGATTGACCGGTCATGATGTATATAGAACATACCACAATACCGTGGCGGCAATGTCTGGTAGAATCTGTCTGTCCACAGGCTCATGGAAGTCCTCGCACGGACACAGATGACCGAGAACGCGACAATCCTCTGTTTAGTACTAAAAAAAAAACCCGGTATAAACCAACAAGGAAAAATGGAGTTCCAGAAGTCAGTAGGTGACGGGGAATAGGCTAGACTCTAATTGTGAATCCTGCCTGGACGACATGAAATACTTCCGCCTGGACAACGTGCAGCCCCGTTGTCTTATCGCCTTGTGGATCTGGGAGGGAAGGAAATCCACAGACAAACCCCCCAGTAAAACCACGGTGATGAAGACAGAAAGAAATACATCCGAGCTGGGGCGACACCTCGTCTATCAAGGACCGCGTTGCTTGTTTTTGTTTGTTTGTTTTTTTTAAATACGCCACTGGGACAAACACAAACACGAACACTCATTTAAATAGCCTGAAAATCAACGTCTGCGGGGGGACAAATAAAAACAGTAGAGATCTCCCGCCTCCTGCTCATGAAACAAGTACATATTGTACCACAACAAAAACAGTAGAGATCTCCCGCCTCCTGCTCATGAAACAAGTACATATTGTACCACAACAAAAAACAGTAGAGATCTCCCGCCTCCTGCTCATGAAACAAGTACATATTGTACCACAACAAAAACAGTAGAGATCTCCCGCCTCCTGCTCATGAAACAAGTACATATTGTACCACAACAAAAACAGTAGAGATCTCCCGCCTCCTGCTCATGAAACAAGTACATATTGTACCACAACAAAAAGCAACACATTTACACCACAGAACAGACCGACACATCGTATGGTATAATACACGTGCTAGTGTCATGAATATACGGACATAATCTTCTACATAATAAATGACACCCAAGGCGAGGTTGAGGCTATCCACACAGATCGGATAACGGGTATCCAAAAAGCTACTGTTTGGTAGTTTGGTACCATGGTAAAAAAAACCACATATAACCCCCCAAAGAGTAACTGCAACTTTTCCAAACCTAGAGAACATACACTACTCCAAGGCCGTGAAAGGCGGTGATTTTAACGGCAACTACCCTCAACGGGAATACCAAAATTACAGCAACACTGGAAAGGCAATATATATATATAGGAAGATAAATCTACAAATCCATTGACTTAAAAAATAAACCAGTTGACACCCACTTTCCCCATGGAGCTTATAACACACTCAGCAGACCTGGCCTAACACTATTCTCTTCAGACTTACTACAGAGAGAAATCCTAAAAGACTATGTTCAGCAGTGTAACAGTCTCAGGCAGCAAGAAGATTCAGCCTGAAAAAAATGTCCGCGCAATCAGTGTCACGTGACTCCTCGCACGGTGTTAACACCCAGTTTCCGAGTTCCTGTTTGAACGAAGGCCTGCAAAAAACGAAGATGGTGGCTGATTGGCGGTGTCAGGATGAATGCCTAGTCGGATTCAACATATTCAAAACATAGACATTCATGGCAGTACTTGACAGAGGCGTAGCGTGGTGGGGTCAGGGGGGACAGATGTCCCCGGGCGCCAGCAAGTTAAGGGCGCCAAAATGTGCTTTGATATTATATTATTGATGAAAATAATGGGTTTGAGAGTTGAAAAAAAGAAAAAGGGGTGCTAAAAATGGATATTGTCCCCGGGCGCGAATCTTGTCCCCGGGCGCCAAAAACCCTCGCTACGCCACTGGTACTTGACGAGGCTAGTGTCCAGCAGATTTGAACAGCAAAGGTTGACCGTTATGAAACACCTTGCAATGCTCACACCTGAAAACCTACTAAGTGATTACAGCATCAATGCTGGTGAAATTTGGCGCAATATTGAACCAGCATGGCGTCTATTTTGGTATTGTTACAGCTGAACATTCTGACTTAAGAAGAACATAAAAATTGTTATGCAATGGAAAGGAGTCAAAAAGAAGCGTTTGTTTCCACGTCATGCGAACAATCTGCAGAAGACATTGGCGCTGATGATTATCTATCGATGCGTCAGATGCCGAAAACGATACTGAGCCCAACAGTGTGGTAACTACGGTTCTGACAGATTCTCAATTGAATCCTGTAGATTTGAAGAAGTATGCCTTAGTGAAGCCCATCCAGATTTTTTTTCTAAACTGGTTTACCCTAACGTGATGAATTGATGATGCTATATAACAGTTTTGCCTTGTCTCGGAGTCGCAGCACCCAGTACATCTGCACAAAGTGCCTAAATTATAGCTTAAAATAATCAATAACCGCATTATTGAGATGCTGCACTCTAAATCTATGAACACCATAAAAATAAATTTTAATTTGAGCGTTTTCAACGTATTTGCTGAAAGATCAACAATTAACAATGCATCCTCCCGTTGTTGGTTTAAACTATACCAAATTACTATTCTCATTGTGCATTGGGTCACAGTGATTCACTAATAACTCGTTGTGATAAAGTGATCAAATGAGGTTAAAATGTGAAGAATTATTGAGCTATAAACGGCTGCTCTATATTGTAATTTAGCAATGGAGGAGGGCGACGATTTAGTGAATCCAAGCAGGCGCAGGACACCCCAGCACCGACCTCTATTAAAAACGAAAAAGATTGACATGTTATAAGTTATACCCAGTACAGAGTTAGGCCTATATGGTCCTACCAGGCTCATACCTGCATTGGGTATACACCCTCCCACCCTAAAAATTATATATGTTAATATTATTAAATTTTTATTAAGAGCATGAAATCCTATCTCCAGAAATGCACGAAATTTTAAAACATAAATGTGCGTTTTGTTGTTTTTTTTTTTTTGGTGCCTATTCAACACAACTTATCAATTTTAGTGGTGTTGCATCTAAAAGTTGTGACCCCCCGGGACAGACTGTCATACTGCCGCCCTTAAATCACGAAAACCACATTACAAGCACAATAGACGTCTAACGTTAGGGGAGAGGTCACGAACTTGTAACGGGGGTGTCCATTTTTTTAATGACAGGGTGTGGGGGGTGGGTGGGTCGTGTCCATATATAGCGAAGCGCCCCATCCTATTCTCCTATGTCCCTTGGTAAACGTATTTAATCCGTTTGTATCGCTTGTTATTTCTTAGAGACTCGTGATCATCAAAACTTGTTTGTTTGTATTTTATTCATATTTTTGGGGGGAATAATACAGTGACAAATAATTTTATCATTATAACTTTTTAATGGAATCGGGCGTCAGGAAAACGTTCATTTGTTGACATATTCTATTTATTACTGTCCTGGGACCATGTTGCGGAAGGGGTTAAACTAAACCTATCTACATATTTTATTGCATACATCATAATATTATATGGTGGGCTGGACTTTATTTAAACCACGCAATGCCGAGCCCACCCAAAGACTGCATTCTAAATTGCATAAAATATTTGATAGAGCAAAAAACAACTTTCCCTCTTCTTTTCTTGATACCGTAGCCTGTATCTCGTTAATTGGAAAACCAGAATAGGATATGCTAACGGCTAAACCCGTGTGGCCCAGAAAACAGTTTTAACTTTTATTCCATCTGGTTAAGAAAATAGAAATGAACGAAAAACAACAACACGACTTACCAGAGCCAAGAATCCAAGAAGAAGCTCACCAAGGCCAAGCAGTGGACACTACCGGGGTGATTGAGTTGCCCGCCTTCACCAAGCGTACAGCTGTTGGTAACCTTGACATGGCTAGTGTATGGCAATGATGGAACGTGATAGGCTTACCAAGGGGTCAGCGGTGGTATGGCAGATATTTTATAGTGTTCCAAACAGCTAGCCAGGTCAGAGACTTTGTTTACGCGGCGTTAAATTCTTGCTTATAATTCGTGGGCATAAGCATACCGTATTCAACGATAGTAGTACACGTAGTCTATTATACCTTTTCAACCTAGGCACTAGGTCGGTTTGATTCAAGTTCACTAGTAATCTCCGCTAAGCCTGTAAGTTTATAATACTTACAATGAATTAACTCTCAAATCGAGAAGTAGGCCTAGCGGCTTTTTTGTTTTAAAGGTCGGGGTAGGGGCGAAGAGAGGGTGGAGAGAATCACGGGAAAACTGGTGTGTTACTGGGGATGCCGCTGGGGTTAGTA